GTTAAAATAGACAGGTCAGGAGACCTGCTGCACTGAGTCTGCTGGATACGGGGATTGAGGGAGAAGTCCTCATTTATACGGTTTACATGAACACACTTATCTTTATAATGATATAAATTGTGGTTATGTGTATATGAAATTACGAATAACAAATGTAGCAGGGCATTAAATCACTGTTTATTTCTTTGCATTTTAACTTTGTAAACTATAAACTCATTCGTCTCCTCACGGTTTGTTTCATTTTGTGAGCTAGCTTCGTTCGCTCACGTTCTCCCCTGCTGGCCACGCCCACTCCTGCCCGATGCTCGCGGAGCTCCACGCCCATTAATCATGCATCTTTTGAAAAAATTCTGAAGTAGACTTTAACCGAAAGTGGGGGTGTCATGACCCTTTAAGACAGCTTTGTAAGTTCTTACCTTAATTTTTCAAGTATCTCTACATTCTTTGCTGTTTGGGGTCGGGGAAAAAAAAGACTTTTCATTTCAAGAAGGCTGCACCTTTTTTGGTATTACCGGCCACTTTATTAGGTACACTTTACTAGTACCGGGTTGGACCCCCTTTTGCCTTTAGAACTGCCTAAATCCATTTGTGGCGAAGATTCAACAAGGTTGAATTTTGGTCCATATTGACATGATGGCATCATGCAGTTGCTGCAGATTTGTCGGCTGCACATCCATGATGTCTCCCATTCCAACACATCCCAAAGGTGCTCTATTGGATTGAGATCTGGTGACTGTAGAGGCCATTTGAGTACAGTGAACTCATATGACGTGGCCTGTTTTCCTGCCACCACACCGCCACCACCAGTCTGAACCGTTATTACAAGGCAGGATGGATCCATGCTTTCATGTTGCTGGCGCCAAATTATGACCCTACCAACTGAATGTCACAGCAGAAATCAAGACTTGTTAGACCAGACATTTTTTTAATCTTCTGTTGTGCAATTTTAATGAGCAAATTCGAATTGCAGCCTCAGTTTCCTGTTCTTAGCCGACAAGAGTAGTACCTAGTGTGGTTTTCTGTTGCTGTAGCCCAGGCGTAACCAACCCTCTTCCTGGAGATCGACCTTCCTGCAGATTTCAGTTGCAACCCATATCAAACACACCTGCCTGTAATTATAAAGTGCTGTTCAGGTCCTAATTGATTGGTTCAGGTGGGTTTGATCAGGGTTGGAGCTGAACTTTGCTGGAAGGTCCATCTCCAGGAACAGGGTTGAGCACCACTGCTGTAGCCCATCCACCTCAAGGTTGGACGTGTTGTGCATTCAGAGATGCTCCTCCCCTGGCGTCTGGCACCAACAACCATGCCACTTTCAAAGTCACTTAAAGTCACCTTTCTTCCTCATTCTGATGCTCTGTTTGAACTGCAGCAGATCGTCTTGACCATGTCTACATGCCTAAATGCATTGATTTGCTGCCATGTGATTGGCTGATTAGAAATTTGGGTAACACTTTACAATAAGGTTCATTAGTTAATGCATTTACTAACATGAACTAATCATAAACAAAACATGTACAGCATTTATTAACAATAATTAAACATTTACTAATGCATTGTTAACATCCAAGTTCATGCTTGTTAATATTAGCTAACGCACCATGAGTTAACCTGAACTAACAATGTACAACTGTATTTTCATTAACTAACGTTAACTAACAAGAACAAATACAGTAGTAGATGTATTGTTCATAGTTTGTTCATGTTAGCAAATGCATTACTTAACATTAACTAATGAACCTTATTGTAAAGTGTGACCGAAATTTATGTCACTGTGCAGTTGTAACTAATAAATTGAAGTGAAGTCATTTAGAAACGTAAAGGTGAATTTGAAACCATCAAAACAAACACACTCATAATGCAGGAAGACCCGCCTCTTTTTCACACTTTTACTCTTTTTACTTGACTCGCCCCTCACTGCTGATTGGCTGCAAGTGTGTTCACTTGGAACTGTGTCCAACACTGTGCTCAAAAGTCTTGTTCAAATGTTTCTTAATGCCTCTTTAATATGATGCGGACACTATAGATACAGTTGAAGTCGGAATTATTAGCCCTCCTGTATTTTCTTTTCCTCAATTTTTGTTTAACCTAAAAAAATTTTCTATCACATTTCTAAACAGTAGTTAAAAAAAACAATTATTGATAACTGATTTCTTTTATCTTTGCCATGATGACAGCAAATAATATTTGATTAGATATTTTTAGACTCTTTAAGATAATAGTATTCCACTTAAAGTGACATTTAAAGGGTTAACTAGGCCGGTTAGGGTAATTAGGCAAGTTATTGTATAACAGTGGTTTATTCTGTAAACAATCAAAAAATGTATTGCTTAATGGGGCTAATAATATTGACCTTAAAAAATTTAAAACTTCTATTATTCTAGTTGAAATAAACAGAAAAGATTTTCTCTGAAAAATTCCTTGCTCCTTTAAACTTCATTTGGGAAATATTTGGGAAAAAAAAAATCACAGGACAGCTAATAATTTTGACTTCAACTGTATATAGCCGGATGCTTTATTTTGCAATCGAGTAAAATGTAGCGTACATCTTTGAGCTGCATTTATAAGCCGGGGTTTAACATTGCAGCCATTGTTTCTTTTTGTATAACTGGAATGAATCCAACCTTCAGTAGTTGTTTGGATGTCTGGCTTGTGGGGATCCTCTCAGTGTTGTATCCTGATCGCTGAAGCTGCTTGTTGTTGTCCCTTAGGGCTGTGCATGTGTGCGTGTGTGTACAGCATGTGTGCATGTGTGGTCTATGACTGAGATGCAGCTGCTATTGGGGTCCACAAACCAGAAACCTCAGACTGAGCCTCATACATAGGGCAGTCTCTCAGCATGTGCAAGCAAAGCTGCTGCTTCACTGTTGCCTATCGCTTGCTGTTTACATTCACATATTTATAATAGAGATGTTCCAATCAAGGTTTATTTTTAAAGCCCCCTCAACATTTGCCCAAGTCATTTAATATTGAGCTTTTGAATCTAAGTCTGATGCATTCATTTTTCAGATTTGTTCCCCTTTGGGTTTATAATCAAGTTTATCAAGCATCTGTATTGCCTGAAAATTTAATAAATTCATTATCAAATTAAGTTTAATAAAATTAATCTAATGTAATGCTGACAGCTGTACCAAAAACACAGGTGTTTTATGGTAGTTTCTGCCTGGTGCTGGTATCATTTTCACGTTGTTTACCACATTGTTTAAATAGCAAATGCAGTTGCACCCATGGGCTTGCTGGTCTGAAAAGGAGATGTGTTAAGGTGCATTGTTGGCATGTTGCTATTTTGAGTAAACTGTTATAGACTGCACCATTTACCAATTAAAAGTTGGTCTAAAGTCTTTATTTGTTATTTAAGGAGCACATTAGTGATAGACAAGCCAAAATTGCATGCACACATTGCTTATTACACACAAAAGTATGCGCAGCAGCACAGAAATATCTTTAAATATAACAAAAATAAAGAAATAAAATGTAAAAGATTGTTATTGCCTTTATAAATTACCTGCCTCCTGCCATGCATGCTTTACCTTTCGTAGATCCAGATTAGGGATGCTCATTTCGGTTTATTTTAACAGACGACAACCGTAGCTCGTCAACCGAATATTAACCGTTAACCATTAACAGATAAATATTTAAATATTATTTAATAAAAAAAGATTGAGGTGCCTATTCTGTGACGCGTTAAATATTTTAAAATACTGACGTATATTATTATGCGAACAGCAGCATACAGAACATAACAGAACATCTGAATGTACCTGCAGTGTTTCCAGCAGGATAGAAAAAAGAATAAACTAAATAAAAAATAAATAAACAGGCCTGCCCTAGATAATTTTCACTTAAATGACACATTTAGATTACAAAACGAAAACACTGACTGAATCCTTTTTAAGAACCGCATAGAAGCATAGGCTGTTTTTTCCAATAATGTTGTTTTTCTTCCGTCCAAAAGAAAATTTTCAGGCTATTAAATCATTTGCTTCAATAAATATATGCATTTAATTAATGCTTTGTCGTTATTATTATGTCACAAAACCCCTTTTAACATTTTAATAGTAGTCATTTGTTTAAAGATTATGTCATAATGACTTATTTCTCCCGTCTCACTCGCAATAAGCATCAGCACTAGTTTGGGTCAACTCGTCTGTGTCAAACTGTGACCAGAAATATCCTTCTTTCATTTTGCTTCTTTGACAAAATACGTCTGTAGGCACATGTGGTGGGAGGTACCATCGGGCAAGTTCACATATATTTGTTGCACGTCAGCGGCTGATCACAGTGAATTCGCTTTTCCTTTCCAAAAATGCGAAGCGCATCACACTGCCTTTTATGTTGACAAGAAAAAAAGAAGTGCGTGATATTAGTTTAATGCACTTTGTGGCCAAAACACACCTATAACACCTTTAAAGATTAAGAGGATAATGACAGCCCTTTTAGATCATGCGCCTGGTGCGACAACTGTTTTTCCCATTCTTAAAAAATCTAAAGTTGATTTGAATGCGCCAAAAGTCCACATGTATCATACACATAGACCATTTGCTTATACTCAATAAAAGTACAGCCCTATGAATCTAAATTTACACCATTTTAGGCTGAATGTAGATATAAACACCTAATGTATAAGAAAAATTGTATTTTAAAAACTTACATTGACAATGCTTTGGCCCCGATTGTGCACTGGCAATTTACGAAGCATTGTAGGGGGGTCATTATTATTATTTTTATTTCAGATACAGATCAGTGCAAACTATTGTATTTCCCAGAGCCCCACACATCTAATTTCGGTGTCCATCAGTGGGGATCAGGCATTAGATAAAGTAGAGAACCACCCCCAAAACCCCCTGTTATTCACAAACTGCTTTTAATCAATGTCAACTGTAAACTTACCAATTCAAACAGTATTGGTATGAAATCTGATGTTTGTTTTTAGCATGTCAAGCCACTCTTTCCAGTTAGACAGTCACATGCGTAAGACCATATCTTCCTCTTTCTGTCCCCAGATCCACAGAGACAAAGACGCACTCTGTTCCAGTGTTTCCCAAAAGAGACACAGCCTGTCCACAGGTAAGATCACACAGCCCTGACCTCATGTCCTATCGCTGGTTATGTAAAGCAATACTAATGTTAGCCTAGACTGGATTCATTTTAGTTTTATTTTTTCATTTGTAGTTTTTCATATCTAGAGTACTGTAGATAAAAGTACAGTATGTTATTTAGTAAAATATGGCAGCTTTAAACATGTCATATTTGAACATTTTAGTGCCACAAATACATAGAAGTATCAGATAATGATCTGCTTTTTGTTCAGCATTGTAAAAAAGTTGTGCGTTTGGTATAAGTTGAGTTTTCTCATGCTCATCAGGATGTTTGTTGTAGTAAGATTGGAATACTATTGTAAACTTATATTGTAGATTTATTTTTGTTTAGTTTTTCATTTTTTATTTGTTTTTGTTTTAAAGTTTCTACACACACACACATATATATATATATATATATGTATATATATATATATATATATATATATATATATATATATATATATATATATATATATATATATATGTTTAATAAATGAGTTATTTTACATTAAACTGGAAATGAGAAACATTCTTCTGCAACTCGTGGAAATAAAATTCTAAGTATTTATATTTTTATATATAGTTTTATATTACTTATGTTTTATATTATTTTTATTATTATTCATATATTACAGGATTTCTGCAGGCTCTTAAAGTCTTAAAATGTTGTCTTAATTTTCTTCTGTTCATGTATATTTAATCTGGCCAAAACCCATACAATCACCAACAATCCATCTCAAAACTCTCAACTTTTTATTCAAAAAAGATGTGATTTTTAACTAATGTGATTTTTAACTAATGATTTATCATAATGGTTGAATTATTTTCCTTACAATAAAATTTGTTTAAAAGTGCTTTATGTATTTACTGCTGAGGACACTGACCTCGACCGATTGTTCTGCATAGATTTATATTATTATACTTTTAAAACTTTTTACACATTTGTTAATTTTTTTTAGTTTATTTTAAAAGAAAGGTTATTTTGTATGGATACAAGTTTGATGGTTTTTACACAATATTGAAAATGTTTTGCTTAGAAATATCAAATATATATATATATATATATATATATATATATATATATATATATATATATTTTTTTTTTTTTTTTAACTATTTTTTTATTGTATTATTTAATTTATTAAATTCTAATAACTTTTTTTTGATAGGGCAAATAAAAATCTTTTCCATCTGGATCATTTCCTTGGTTTGTAGCCCTTATGAGTTAAAAAAAAATATTCTTAGTGGTCTTAAAAATGTCTTAAACTCTTAAATTTAACTTGGTAAAACCTGCAGACACTGTATTACTGCAGTTGACATATTAAAGAACAAAATGGCTTCATGGTTTTAGTGATTGTTCATCAAACCTGTGTTTATTTTATTAAAATGCAGTAAAAGCAGTAATATTGTGAAATATTCTTACATTTTGAAATGGTTTTCTTAATTATGTCAACCTGAATAGATTGACATGATCCTTTCAAAAAAACTAAATATTTTCATCAGTTGTGTATATATTTGTGTGCTTTTGTATATTTAGGTTGTAAGTTTAGCAACATGCTAGTGTCATTTTATATGTGAATCATTTGTGAGTCACATTGCTCATGCATTTCATGTGATGAACACTTTTTTTTGTCGCATGTATGCTTTAATTGATTGTCTAAGTAGGGAAAATACCATTAAGCAGTATACGACTAATGCTACTCATAGTTTACCCAGCCCGTGCTCGAACCAGCAATCTTCTTGCTGTGAGGCGATCATGCTACCCACTGCACCACCGTGACACTTAATTTATTTATTATACTTTTAACATCTCACAAAAGTTACCTAAGCCACATTTCATTGAACCATGTCAAACCCCTACTGAAAATGAATGTTTTTATTTTTAATTATTTAAAAACAATAAAATAAAATGTTTTTCTTTTTTTATAATCTTCTTGAAACACAACCTTCATTTTATATGCAGTAACTACGCTCTGAAGCTCTCAGTGTCCCGTCGTGTCCTGTGTTTATGTAGTCAGTTGTTTGAGGTAATGATGTTTGCTTTCACTCCAGTGCTGGGTCATTCAGAGTAGATTATAGAGAAAGAGCAGCTGGAGCGACCCTACAGCCAATCCCTTATTTCCCAAGACGCAGAGCCACCTGTGTGTGTGTGTGTTTGTGTGTGTGTGTGTGTGTGTGTGTGTGTGTGTGTGTGTGTGTGTGTGTGTGTGTGTGTGTGTGTGTGTGTGTGTGTGTGTGTGTGTGTGTGTGTGTGTGTGTGTGAGAGACAGCTGACAAAGCTCACACTCTCGTGACAGATCTCCAGTGCTGATCCCGCTCTCTTAACACACACTAAACCCACAGAGAGAGAGAGAGTGACAGATTATACTCGTTTTTACAAGATGTCAAATAAATCTCTGATGTCACCAGAATGTGTGTATGAGAAGTTTCAACTGAAAATACCAAACAGCCCATTTATTTTAAGTTGTCAGATTGAGCTAATTGAGTTTGCAAGAACACGAGGCACCTATTTGAGCGTTTTTGTGTGCATTCCTAGAAATGCAAATGAGCTGCTGCTTTCCAGACGAGGGCGGGGCTTCTACAGGCTAGTGCGACAGAAACAACAAAACCAAATGTTAGAAATGACCAACAAAAGATTAAAAGTTCATATGAATTTAAACGTTTTTAGATGTTAGTATCAGTATGTCAGCCTTGAGGATATTTATAAGCTAGTGTGCTACAAAACAGTGACAACGTTTGCATTTAGAAGATATAAAAAAAATCAACGTTTGCAGTTTGTCACTTTTACCTAAATGCATCAACAGTTTTATTTGACGTCACCTCATACTTCAGCTTCTCATCAAATCTTCTGACCAATCAAATGCTTTCTAGTATCTGACATGCCCTGCCCCCTTCAAGATGCTTCTCACTTGCTTTTCATTTGATGCGCTTGAGCTCGACCACTCTCACTGGCAGAGCCGTGATAAAAACAAAACCCTATTGGCTGTTTTTTATAAATGTAAGGAGCTACTCTATGTCCCGCCCTGTTTATATATATTAGTTGAGATTACCTCAAGCAAAAAAATACCCAGGCCCATACCCGGCCATCGACAGCAGAAGGAGCCCCCCTCCTCCACCAGGTAAACCTCAACCAGTAGTTGGGCAGCCGCGTTGGGCGTGAGCACAGGTTGAGCCGCTGAGGTGCAGATCTTGTAGCAAATATTCAAATGAGAATAAGAGCTTTGAAGGCCAAAGTGGAGAAGGGTTCCATGTGGACAGCAGTTGAACATGGGTCAGTCGGTCCTAAGGGATGGGCGAATGCCATTCGGAAGGGAGAAGCGATGGTCTCTGTCATCCCTGGCTAATCGAAAGGGAGTCAAATTCCTGAACCCGGAGTGCTGGAGACATGCACCGCGAGGTGCCCAGTGCGGTGACACAAACAAACAGTAGCCGGCAGGATACTCTTTTATCTGTGAAGGGGAGGGCGCCCTGGAATGGGTTTGCCCTGAGAGATGGGCCCACACCCTGGAAAGCGCAGCCGTTCTGGTGGTGTTTGGTGAGCTCTCGTCGGCCCTTGAAAATCCAGGGGAGAAGGTCTAAGGCCCCATTTACACTAATGCGTTTTAGTTTGAAAACTGCGTTTTAGAATGAAAACGAACCGCGTCCACACTAGCGTTTCACACAGCATTTCTGAGCAGCTCTCTGTCTACACCAAACAACTGGAAACTCGCATCACGTGACCACACACACACACACACACACACTGGCATGTGCTGCAGCCTATCTAGCCAGATGAGAGCTGTGCTTGTCAGAGTGTTCATGAAGGATCTCCCGCTGAATACAATCTCACTATATTTGCTAAATGTGATATTTAACTCATCTTGTTTTCTCTATCTAACGGCATATTCTCTGACTTTGGTCTTTTGAATATATTACTTGTTCTTAAGTAACATGTTTTGGCTGAACGCAAAGATAAGTCAATAATTAATGTAACCATGTACATTCTGTATATTGACTGATTGCTTGCCTTTATTTCCTATAACTTAAAAACTTATTGTACGTTATACTTTTATAATGGCCATTATTGATTATTAAAACTGATATTCAGCTAAAGAGAGGATGTGTTTCGTATTGTCAATGAAAATGAAAGGAGGCAGTAATGTTATAGGCTCCATTTTGTTATAAATATGCCTACAGTGAATCTGATGCTCATATAAATATGTAGCTACACGGCGCCTCAACATTTCTGCTGTCTGTTAAGTTGTCAATATCAAAATGTAAATATCAGTTCCTTATATCATGTTATCATTTTATTGTTAAGAAAGTAAAACAACGTATCCAGGATGATGTGAATAAGGTTATAAAGTACAATGTCCTCGAAAGTCTGTTTTCCATATCAAACTTGCAAAGTCTCAACTTACAAAGTGAGGATGCAGGACTGAAGTGTGGAAGGCTACTTAATATTGAGGAAAAGCCCCAATCAGAGAGGTGAATGTCTGCAGCCCCGCCTCCATTTTCAGATGTCACCGTTTCCCCCCATCCATACTGAGATGAAGCAGCAGCGTTTTAGAATGAAAACGGCCTCTCTAGCGTTTCCAAAACGCTCTGTTTTCGGTGCTCGAAAACTCCGGCGTAGTGTGGACAGATGGCGTAACCGTAGCAAAACTTATGCGTTTTCAAACGAAGTCTTGTGCCAGGATGTACCCATATCCGCAGCAGGTCTCCAAGGTGAACAGCCTCTGTTGTGTTGGAACAAGGCAGTTAAGGGAAGTCGGCAAGTCAAAAGTCAAATTAAAAAAGGCACATTTCTAAGCACCTTTGAAAATTTTTTTTAAACAAGTTTAGAGTCTAACATTGATGACGAGGAAGAGGTTACAACGTCTAGACTGAATCAGATCCTTTCTGAGTAAACTTGATTCATCTCATACACTAGGATGCTAATGTTCTGTTCAGATGTGCTAGCCTTTGCTAATATGCATGTAGCGTCTTTCCAATTGCTGCAATTGTTGGTAGAGTGAGCAAGTTTTGTACGCGTATAAGTTAGAGTTCGCAGGCAAGATGCAGATAAAATGTCTTTAATTTTTTCCCAATACAGCTTTTCTTTAGCAAACCTGCTTTAAAACACTGATGTCTAAATACTTTATAAAGTCCATCCCAAAACAACAGTATTCTATCATCCATATTGTACACTACTTTGTAGTACGGTTAAAAAAAACAACTGATTCCTACCAATGCAATTCTTCTCTCGATGCAGTGATGCCACAGTTATACAGTATCATACCGCCACCTAGTGGCCAAATGTCATTTTAAAATGAATGACTCCAACAACGAATAACTTTTTTTAGTAAAATTTTCTTCACAAATAAAGAAAAAACACAAGACAATGCATAATAAGTGTGTTTAAGAATTATGTTGACTAAGTGTCTTCAGGGTAAAACTAACAGCATGCAGTCATAATATTAGTAATAGTAATAATAGTAGCTTTAGCAAGCTTTAGCAGGCACATTCAGAAATGAAACATTATCAAACTTAAATAAACTTGTTTTGGATGTTAAGTTACCGCTAGAACTTTTGATATTTGCTCATTCTTCAGAAAGGATGTTGAGCGGACCCTCGTGTGTGGTATAGCATATATTTTGCCCAAATATGTATCACTTCACCAGCATTCCTCTGCACATTAATTTTCTTTTCGGCTTAGTCCCTTTAATCTGGGGTCGCCACTGCGAAATAAACCGCCAACTTATCCAGCATATGTTTTACACAGCGGATGCCCTTCCAGCTGCAACCCATCACTGGGAAATACCCATACACTCTCATTTACACTTATACGCTATGGACAATTTTAGCTTACCTAATTCACATCTACCACATGTCTTAGAACTTTTGGGGGAAACCGAAGCACCCGAAGCAAATCGGGTATAAATGCAAACTCCACACAGAAATGCCAACTGGCCCAGCCGAGGCTCGTACCAGTGACCTACTTGCTGTCAGGCGACAGCACTACCTACTGCGCCATCACATTTCCTCTGCACATTTCCTTCCAAAATTATATTGAACCACAATGTCTCAAGTGTTTTCGATGTTGGGAATCTATAGATACTTACATTCAGAATATTGTCTGTCGGTGGGACGGTACCTTTTCTTTTGTACCTTTAAGATTCCCTTTTGCATCTTTAAGTTACTTTGAGGTATTTGTACTTTTTAGGTGTTAATATGTACCTTTAATGACCTATTAGGAACAAAAAATTTTTCTGTTGAACACAAAAGAAGATATTTTGAAGAATGCTGGAAAGCGGTAACCATTGACATCCATTGTAATAATAAATAAATAAATAAAAATACTATTGAAGTCAATGGCTATCGGTAACATTCAACAGAAAAAAAGAAATGTAACTAGTTTGTAACAACTGGAGAAAGAATAAATGATGACAGGCTTTACATTTTTGAGTGAACTGTCCCTTTAAGGAATGGTAATAATGCATGATAAGATTTCTTCATATGTCACTAGGGGATTCAAATCTAAAAAGCACTTTTTTTTTTTTCAAGTTAGATGAACAACGTTTACCAAAATAATAATCTATTTTATTATACTACATTATAGAAGCACTTAATCCCCCGAAAGTCATAATTTCATAACATGTGCCCTTTAAGAAGACTAAAGTGAAAGCAAGAGCGAGGGAGGAAACGGGCGGTAGTTTTTCTAGGTGATGGAATCTGTTGAGGTTTGTCATGGTGGTTTTGTCTTACACGTGATTCGGTTTTGTTCCCCACGCGATGTTACACTTTATACTTTTATCAAGTTTGTCTGACTCTGCTGTCGTGAATGCATGTGTTGTTCTGAAGGAGGAATCGCATGATTTGTAAGATGACTTCTTTGGAGACATTTTAGGGAACAAATTGGCTGTTTTTTATTTATGTGCTTGAATTTTTTTGTTGTTTCGCAGACGGTTCACGGTATCCGGAGTTTCAGACTTGCAGGTCTGAATTGGTTTCTTTTCGAGACTCGGGCAGCGATACAGA